TGCATTATTATGGAGTTTGTCACTATAAAGTAGAGAATTGTGACGGATTGTCTTTCTCTGTTGTGTCAGAACTACGATTAGTAAGAAGATCGGTGACCACTTCCCAAGATCGAACCATAAGTATGATGCTTTTCACATTTATCTCAACAGTTGTTGAGTGAAGATTACGGTCAGTGAACGGTTGCCGTTGGGGTAATTCCGGTCAACACAGCCAAAACGGCTGGTACAAAACTAAACCAACTTTACAAAACTACTCAATTACTGCTAATGAAAAACAGCTGCATAAACGTCAAACTGGACACTTTGAAAACACGCGTGTCGAATGGTAAAAGAATTTCTGAGTTTAGTCCAGAAATAGCAGAGTTGTGACCGGCAGTTTAAACGTGAATCGAGCCGTTCTAATTAGGTAGACAGTTCCGAAATAGAACGGCAAGCAAAATTTTGTTTCTTAAATAGAACGACCCCATACAAATACACGTGAAAAACATAAGAATTTACTACGGGACAGAAGACGAATCCACCACCGGTAAGCAATGTGGCGCTTGAAGAGTTTCTTATTTGAGCAAGTCGCTCTCCTACATCCCGAAGCTTTCCTATGTTCTGGTGCCGATAGACGAATCTACCACCGGTAAGCATTCTCGAGTTAGAGCAATGTATTATTTACGCACCCTTTTCTGCTATATCACATAATGCTTTGCCATAACGGCTTGTATTTGCCGCAGATGAATCTACCGCTGGTAAGCATACTCAAGGCTATTTCAACCAGATATTAGGTATTTCCACTAGATTATGTAAAATGTTCTTGAAACTCGATCAAACTTTCAGCGTTCATTCAAGTATCCTTCGTGAATATTGAAATATATTTGCTTTTCCGAAAAAGTTATACCCTTGGGCGGTGTAGGTGGTACATACCTCCGATTATGGTCAACTTGAAAATCATTGTTGTTTACCAATAAGCGACATAGGTAGTAGAAGTTATTTTTACAGCGGTTTCAATAAATTTATTTTCTTTCGACGTTTCGAGTTCACATGAACTCATTTTCAAGATTTGAAAACAAAATTGTTAAAAACGATTACGAAGCTAAAGTACAAAAGCTTGTCGCATATATTTGTTGTTACTATGGAATGTCTATTGCGGTTTTCGTGTTAAAAATTTTTCGATTCTTTTTCCTATAACCTCCAGGGTCAGGTATAAAGGTTGAGGGTATACCTAGTGGATAAATGTAGAGGGGTGTTGATGCAACTGTCTTATTTAGAGTGGGATTTAAGCCTTTTATAGCTAAAGCTTCTTTTATTAGAAGTCTTTCTGGTTGTTTATCAGTCATTAATAAATGATAGTCTTTTAATGTTATTCGTTTTCCAGTTTCAAACATATGTATATAAAAGGGTGATTTTTTGGCTACTGTTCGGGTCGGTGGAATTAATGGTAATTTAATTGATGGTTGAGGTTGCTCTAATGGTGGCTGTATTTCACCAAGAGCGTCTAGACATGCATATTCTAGTTGTCGATCATTAATTATTTCGAGAAGTTTACGACGTAATTGTTGATTTGGAATAAGATGATGATTATTAGTAGTAGAATTTTGTTGTAATGGTGTGATACTATTATTTGTTTGTTGTTGTGATGTTGAATTATTTTGTTGTTGCTCAATCTGAAATTTTATTCCATGTTCATTGAAATGTCTGCTAATCTGTCGTATTGTTTCACCTACGTAATCATCATTACCGTCTTTTGCAATTACATGATAAACCAAATTAGATTTTAACGGATGTGGAATATTATCTTCTATTTGAAAATATTGTTGTATAGTTTTTGGTGGGCGCTGTATTATTCGTAGTCGTTTAGTCGGTTTTTGGTGTTGAACAAATGAATCCCATTTAGTCATAAGACAACTGTATGTAGGTTTCCTATATACTGTTGTTCGATATGAGGGTGTTATTGTTGTTCTTATTCTAAGAATAAGAAGACGTACATACATATAGTCATGTGAGACTGTGACGGACGTACATGCACATACTGACTGCCAGGTGTGACGGACGTTCATGCTCATAATCATGTTGCATTGTGAGCGACGTAGATACATATAGTCACGTGGCGGACGTACCTGAGTGGAGAAGCCAACTAAGTCTTTTCAGAAAAGGGACAGCGAATCTGTAGATGAGCGTTACTTGTGTCTTATCATTATCAGTAAATAATTTTACTTCACAAATTTTAATAATAATGCCGTTTGCTTTTAGAATGTGGAGTGAACATTCATTTGTCTCA